TGTATGTCAGCTCCCACACAGGCAGTGATGAGATTGGGCAGGGACATCTGGGTGAAGAATGTAGCAGAAGCCAAGGTCAGAAGCTCAGGTATCAGGGAAGCCATCAAACTGACTGGAATGCAGACTAGATGAGGAGGACTTCTCAGAGACCGGTCAAACAGAACAGATAGTCAAAGGGGAACTGAGGAAAATCAGACAAAACTCCCTGGGCAGGAACTTAGCCTGCAGGCAGCATGACCAGCCACACACTTGCAGGGAGGCCATCCTGCTTGCATCCAGGTTTGTCCTTCTTCTGGCCATTGAAGGCTAGGATATGGAAATGAGGAAGCCTGAGACCTCTATACCCGGTGACAGCTTACTTTCTGTCTCCTTCATTTCCTGCAGGTCCCTGCTGAGCAGCATCTACTTCCAGCTCCTGGTCTTTCTGCAGGTGCCCCTGCTCCTGGGCATGCTCAGTGCAGTCCTCTGGGTGAACAGGCCTCAGAGGTGCTCTGAGGGAGGTGAAGTTGGCCTGGTGAAAGTCCATAGTTCTGATGCCTGGTACAGAGAGAAATACCTCCATGTAGATAGAAAATAATCTGTCTATCTATCTATCTATCTATCTATCTATCTATCTATCTATCTATCTATCTATCTATCTCTAGTGTGTGTGTGTTTACATTGTGGGTGCATATGTGTATGTAGAGGACAAAATTGGGTGTCATTCCACTAATGTCTGAGACAGGATTTCTCACTGGACTGGACCTTTGCCATGTAGGCCAGGCTAGGGATGGGGAACTCCAGGGACCTACCTGCCTCAGTTCCTATCTTGCCAATATGAGCACACACAACTGACCTAGCTTTAACACACACACACACACACACACACACACCCCAAAACAAAACCATAGGTTGCAGTGATTAAACTCATGTCTTTGTACTTACAAGGAAGGCAAGCTCTTTACCCACTGAACCGTCTCTCCAGCCAAGAAAAGAATATTTCTATGAGGAAATGACTGTGGTCAGCAGTACCATGACTCTGGGTTCTGTGGGTTCAGCCTCAGACTACTCCCTCACCCTATAGCAGGGACAGCTGAGGTTCTGGAACCCACTCGGGTTCTCCCTCTCAGAACATCCTACAGTGCCTTCCGAGGCCTTTCTTCCTCTGATGGCCTCCAGTGGAGTAGAAAATACAAAAAAAAAGTCATGTTTCTTTTTAGGGCCCCAGTTCCTTGGAGGACACATGTCATCCCAAGTCTGTGGGCCACCAGCCAGGTGTTTGACCAGATATCTGGGAAATGTGGCTTCACCAAGTGGCATAAAAAATTGTCACGGTCATATGGTCATAGCTTACACAGAGAACACACTGTATTCTCTTTTTTGTCAACACAACCCAGGGTTGTGCATTCCAAACACAGATGGAGCAGTTGGCTGAGTCTCTGTGCACCTGACCCACGGGGTAGCTCAGTCTGGGTCCCTGAAGTCCAGACTCTCTGCCCAGTGAGACCAAATGGGGAGGGAACTGGGTGAAGGCTGCTGTCCCCTCAGGAGTCACGAGCTCATCTCACCCCGTGGACCCCTCTAGGGCCGGTCTCCACACCAGGTCACTCAGCTGTCCTCCTGTTCCTTCAAGAGCATCTATTCAATGTGTAAGCACTACACACCATCCAAATACAAGCTTCAAAATGAGAAAGACCTGGTTAAATCCACAGAGGAAGCTGAAGGTTCAAAGGCAAAGGCTCAGCTGGAAATAGCTGTTCCCAGCTCTCCAGCCTCAGCCATGCTGAGTTATGCACCCCACAACACGCAGTCTTCTTATCACACTGGGCTCTGACACCTCACATGGATGTGCACCCCACTTTGTGTGGGAAGAGACCCCCGTGAGCATCTCCTCCTGGATGACATGTTTGGACTTCTAGTGAATCTGCCTTGGTTGAGAGGAGGCTTTTCATTGCTTCAGTGGTGTAGGTGCTGGTCAGCTGCCCATGTCCAGTAAATAATCCCCACCCACACTCAATCCTAATTAAACCCAGTGGAACACACACACACACACACACACACACACACAGACACACCACACACAGATGGTATGTAATCAAAAGAAGTGCTCATTACACGAAGGTAGTGGCACATCCCTTTAATCCCAACACATCTCTAAGTTCAAGGCCAGCCTGGTCTACAGAGTGAGTTTCATGACTACAGGGAGAAACCCTGTCTCCAAAAAAAAAAAAAAAAAAAAAAAAAAAAAATCCAAAAAAAAAAAAAAAAAAAAAAAAAAAAAAAAAAAAAAAAAGGAAAG